CAAACCCACCAACATTTTAATTTCTTGGGTGGTATAGATATTCTCATCTGTTGCATTCGGATATCTTTCTCTGAAAAGTGAACTTTTTCTTTGAGTATAGAAAATTAAAATGAAAATTTAACAAAACATAAAGTATAGTTGAAATTTGGAAATAAATAGGAGGTGATAAGTTGTCTCATTTATCTCGAATTATTTAATTTTTATTAGAACAAGCATTATTTTATCATATAGTTAAAATAATTTATCTATTTGCATTTTACATTTTAAAATTTGCAATTCAAAATCGTCAACGAATAGCTGTAAAAAATTGCAAATATTAAAAAGTCGAGCAACTTTTTTAAATTTATTCTTCGAAAAGTTTCTAAAGAGAATTACGTTTTCAATGAGAAAAAAAACGCTAATTTAATGCTAAATTCAAGATTGTTTACCTTAAATTATGTTGAACCGATTTTACATATGCTAATGGTTGTTTATAACGATTAATTTTATTCATTGATCCTGCTGCTATCTTCTCGTCTTCATACATTTTCTTTTCACGCAAGAATCTACAATAACTGACGTATTTCAATATAGTATTGATCAATCATTAAAATTGATTATTTTAGAAGTAAAAAATAATAAAATCAATGTTAATTTTATAACAATAAAATAAATCAATCAATTAAATGGATAAATTCAGACTGAAATGTAACATAAAAAAGAAAATGGCATTCTCAAAATGATAATTAAAATAAGCAAAATTGTACTTTTTGGATTAATTTTAAAATTGCGGCAATTGACTAACAAAAGGGTCAACATGATTAATTTGCTGTGATAAACGAATAAATTCGGAAGGACTGGAATTTAATATACAGTATGCTGTACAAGACAATACTTCTTGTCAATGCACTAACTTAAGACAGCACCAATTACTAATAACCTGATCGATTAGTGAATTCAAATTTTATAATTACGAAATTTTCAACCTTTCAGGTTTAAATGTCGTTAATGCTGAGTATGTTACAATGAAGTTTGATGTAAAGTATATTCAGCTATTCCTGATACTTCTCGTAACAATATGAGATTGATTAAAGTAACTATACTGAATTTTCAATATATCATATATTGGATTTTAGTTCATAATAATTTCTAGGACAATCAAAAAATAATAAGAAAACCATATGATCAATAGTTTTAAAATTTATTAAAAATTATAAAATTTATTCACGAAAAAGTTAAAATCAAAAAAAAAATTTACTTTGAGCGATGATAGCATAAAATCATAGCGAATACAATCAGTACAGCAAAAAGTAAAAAAGTGAAGATTGCCAAAAGAAGAGCTGCTTCACGGAGACGTGCGTACGGTACTGTTTCGGGCAATTTTGTCACATCAACTGAGTGCTGAAGAGAAATTTTATTGAAAAGTTTTAAAAAAAAAATAATAAAAATAAATGATTAGATTTTAATTTGTTTTCACATTTTTTTCTAAAAAAATTTCCAAAATCGATAATTTTTTTGAAATTATGTTATGCTACTGATTTGTTAATTTAAAAAATTATCATTTCTAATAACAAATGAATTTAGCTTAAAAGTTTGATATGATAAAATCGAAAATCAAACAGTCGAGAGAGTAATTTGAAAAAACGAAAGCAGATGACTTGTTATGTAGAAATATTTTGGAATATTCAATGTCATAGAAGAGATGCATTCAAAAAAAAAGAAAAATTAAAAAATTTTTAAAATTTACATAATTAGAAATTTTTTCAAATAAAATTAAAATTTGTATAAAATGTGGTAGCAGTTAATGAAATGAAAAAAATTCAAAGCTTTACCTTTGAAAGTGCACTCAATTTTGGTACAATTCCTTTTGGATTCAATGCATTTTTATCGATAATTGATACGGCTCGATCAGCCGAAAGGAGTGCATCATTGGTCCGATTGATGAACAGAAATTGAGCTCGCACTGCTTGCCGTAGCAAACGACCATCCGAACTTATGTATTTTACATTGAATAACAACACCTCACATTTACACAATTCACTAATGATTCTAAAAAATTTTAATTATACAGAATTGAAATTTGAATCTTTCAATTTAAATTAGAATGATCTTATTGATTTATCGGCAAAATCATTAAACTAACTGTGTTAAATTTTCTAATTCATTAACATTCAAATTCTTGGCACTTTCATCGATATCCATTTGTACAATATGAGATATATCATATATCCATACCGAAACATAAGCAAACATAATTTTGTCACATTTTTAAATGACAATTTTTGATACAGTATTGAAAGAGTGATTTAATTCATTTAATTAATAAGCTCATTCAGATAGTTTATTTAATTGATAAAGGTATTTAGGTTCCGATTATATATCTATATCCAATTATATCAACTCTTCCTTCTTTTCTTCTCGTCAAGTAATATTTAACGGAAAAGCATGATTCTGTTAATATTTTAATTATAAAAGTATTTGTCTCCGATCGCTAATTTTACAGAATTAACTCTTTAAGCGAAAAATTTTACATTTTGAGCGTAAAATTTAAAGGATACTGTTCTCCTTTAAAAAGGAAAATCAAATATTGGTCATTTTTGATTTTTTTTGAAATGATTTTTAGAAAATAAGAATGAAATTGAAAAAAAAAACCAAACAAAAATTATACCTTCATATAACTTCAATTTTTTTAAAATACCTTTAATTTAGTCAAAAATATACCTTGAGCTTAGTGGTGGCAATATGAGAAACGATATCAGAAAGGTCGGTACTTGCGATGCGTGATTCAAATACACCACCCACTGAATCGTACGGTGATTGCGCCAATCGTGCAACTCCCGATTTCTCATCTATGCTAACGAAACCATTTGCCTGTTTAACTCGATCCCCATATCGATAAATTGTTTCATCGATTTGATAGCGCACTGAATCAGAATCTGAAAGAAATATCAGAGAATCATTATCAGAAGACATTCATCTTTTTGCAACTAATCACAATATTAAATAATTAAATAATTTCCTACTTTATACGGCAAAAGTTACGAATAAAAATTGGAAAATAAAATTTTACAAATGTTGACGAATAACAAATAAACTTCTTATAAAAAAAGAAGCCTAACAGTAATATTGAAAATATTAAGCAGTCTTTCAGTAATAGGAAATTTTTAAATGATAATAAAAATGATAATAAATTTTTGATGATAAATTTAAATGACAATAATGATAGGTGATAATTAATGATAATTTTTAAATGATAAGATTTCAAGTCTAACTACTACCAATTATACATTAACTCAAAAAAGATATTT